GACAACAATTTGAGCCAGTCATTCTCTCTCAGCCCAACCCATCTCATAAAAAATCATAGAATCCTAACATGAGACATCGCTGAGGTGGGATGACAAAATATAGAATCAACTGAAATAATCATGTCTTCCTCCAATTGTTTCCTATGGTGATGGAATTGGAAGCTGTTTATCTGAACACATACATTTATGCATGACACATTTTGATCTTTACAGGTTACTTTCCTGGCCATAATTGATCTCAGATCTGCTGTGATCTTGCTTGCTTGCTTGCTTTTTCACAGCATATTTAAGTAACCTCTGCTAATCTGAAAAGTCCTTGACCCAAGATCAGTAAGTTCTTACTGGGTTTAATGATGCTGCTTTCAATGAAATACTATACTTTTTGAGAAGTTACAAAAGCTTGCTTTTTATTACAAGTAACTCAATACTAAAAATTATATAGCGTGTCAGCTTTGCCAGTTAAAGATAGTTAAATTAACAAGGATAACACATAGAACTGTATTTAATATTTTGCATGTTCACTTGACTTTAAATGACTTTGCAGGTATATTTTGCATGTCTTAACTGAACAGATCTGATGTAATTGTTTACATGTGGGAGATACATTTCTTGACAGAATCAATTCAAGTAAAGCATTATTTCTTTCCTTGGAAGATTCTACCCTTAGAATCATTTATTAAAATCTTTCTAAAATTGCAGACATAGTTTTTCTAAAGAAGTACTTCCATTCTCTTAAGTTCTTGTAATTTTAACTTGTTTTACTCACTACCCTAATCCTATGTCTCTATTCAATTTTAATTAGAAATAGCTCTTTGCCATGATACCTTTTTGCTATATTTATCACACTAAAAGCATTTTGCTTTGTTATGCAACTTTACTACTTGTCTGTCTTTTTCCTCTGAATATAGCAGGTAGGGATGTAATTAGCTGGTTCACTTATGATTAAATAGCAAGTATTACAGAATACTTCTTACATTTGAAAGCTTAGTTGTATAAAACATTGCATGTTGAGTGGTATTTGATTCCTTTTCTTAAGGGGCTGATACTGTATCAAATGATTCTGTGATAGTTTGGGAGAGGGCTATGCTGCATTATGATCTTTGATAGGACGTGTATTTTTTTGTAATTCTATTTATAATTTTATTGCTATGGATTTTATAGGTAAGAGTGCAGGTTTGGTAGCCCCTTTTTATAAATTATTGCCCAAATTTTGCTGGGCATTCTATTGATAAACTGGGATTTAAATGTCTTCTTAAAATATGCTTCCACAAACAAAAATGTTGGTGAGTAAAGAGAGTAATGGTCCAGTGGTGACTGAAATAAAAAATAGAGTTTGCTGAGGTGTCCTAAATTTCTCTGTTCTCATTATTGAAGAGCTAGAAATTGGCAACTTTTATCATGAAAGAATAGTATTGCTGCATATATTCATTAGGAAAATGAAGATAGGCATGTGTGAGCGTGAAGGACAGTATCCCCAATACATGCCCCTACCTTATTAATCACTGGTGAAAAATTGTTCTTTAGAGCCCCAGAGCCATAAATAATATATTGTAGATGGCCAAGGGAAAATATTATATGAATTCCACAGCAATGAACACAAGTGTTATTATAATGGATTTAGGGCAAAATGTTCTAAAAAAAGGTTCAGAAATATGAAATATAAACAAACAAACAAACAATTACAGAAAGGAATTTTGATTTGTGACTCACAAATCAGTGCTTTTTGCATTAGCTATTGAGTACAGGAGCATGGTTCCATGAACCAAGTTTTGTTACCAGTTTACATGTTTAAGATTGCTCCATGAACGTCATACAGTCTACAGAGATGACCGCAGTTGAGCCCAAAATTTAAATTGTCAAGCAAGACAGTTAAGTGAATTTTGTTCCATTTTACAATCTTAACAAATCTTCTTGCCACTGTTGTTAAGTGGATCAGTGCAGTTGTTCAGTGAATGTGGCTTCCATTTTGACTTTGCTTGTCAGAAGGTCACAAAAGGTGATCACATGACCCCAGGACAGTGCAGCTGTCATAAATACATGCTAGGTGCCAAGCATCCAAACTTTGATCACATGATTGTGGGGATGCTGCAAGGGTCATAAGTGTGAAAATTGGTCATCAGTCATTTTTTTCAGTGCAGTTGTAACTTCAAATGATCACTAACTGAATGGTTATAAGTTGAGGACTATCTGTAGAGGAGCATTGCTTTTTCCTCTTTTAAATACTCTTTAACAGCAAAACATATTCTCACTTCTAGTTTTTGCTAACATGTCTATGTGTTACATTGCTATTTCAACTCAAGATTTTTTTGAGAGGGAATTGTATTTTAAAATATTATCCACTACAAACCACCTCTATCTGAATTTCCCTGTTTGTGGATTTAAAGAGAAGTCACCTTAGCAATTAAATTGCAAAGTAGAGAAAAGTATAATTATTAACTAATTGAAAAATAGTGGAAAGTATAGCTTTCAATCCTTGTAATCAGTATATGTATGCATTAAGTAAATATTTTTAATTGATTATAGGATTAGTAATAATGTTGATCACCAAAAGCACTTCTGTAGTATTAACATAGCATCCTGTCTAGTGCTGATAATCTTTTATTATAAAGTACATTAGTTAATGTCAATTTTAGATTCATATAACTTTTTAAAATTTAAACGTGAGAATAATTTTTTTCTAGAGATTAAATTGTTTTGAATTTGTCACTTCGTTTCAAATCTACTCTAGGCAGTGTAATAATAAGTGAGACAAATCAATAATGTGTTAATAGAACAGTAAGGTTAAGCTATATTTAATAAAACTATGTAAAGATTATAGATAACTGCTTAATCTCAATTTTCAAGTCCTGTAGTGCATAAAATGAAGCTAAGTTTGTAACTTTTTTCCTGAAATTGTGCTAAGGAATGGTATATTACAATAATATTTTTGTATATACAGGCTGCATTTGCTAGAAATTATACATTTCAACCAACATTTTTTTTGACATTTTTATTTTTAAATGAATTATTGTTAGTATAATCATGCAATATACTTCCACTCCCCACAGCTTGCCTAAAGTAGTTAAAAGACGAGTAAATGCACTCAAGAATCTTCAAGTTAAATGTGCACAGATAGAAGCAAAGTTTTATGAAGAAGTTCATGAATTGGAAAGGAAATATGCTACTCTTTATCAGCCCTTATTTGACAAGGTAATCTGTATGCTTTTACTATATAATGTTGAAAATGGGAGTGCCTGAAATTCCTATAGATTTTCTAATTTTGTAGTTTTTATTTCCCAAAAAAGAATCGTGCTTTACCACTTTATAAAAGGTATTGGGTTATATTAACATGGTAATCTGAAAGAATGATGGTTTGATCTTCCAGAGAAGTGAAATAATCAATGCTGTTTATGAACCTACTGAAGAAGAATGTGAGTGGAAAACAGACACGGAAGAAGAAATTTCAGTGAGTACCTATATGTTATTGGAAGTAGACTTAAAGGACAGTCCTGCCTTATTTCATGGGATCACTAATAGGAAGGTACTCTAAAGCCCTTTTGTGTTTGCATTATGAAGCAGAAGGGATGGAGCAGTGGATTTTTGTTTCTTTTATATTGTTCGTTTCCTTGTTCAAATTCCCTCCCATTGAAACTAACAGGAGAGAAGTGAATTAGATTAGATTAAAACCAATTGAAGGTTACATTTGGTGGGAAAATTAGTTTTGTATTCAGTAGGTTATGCATGGTCTTTAGGGACCTCATGTTTTTTACTGTCTTCATAAATATAAAGATAGGAAATAAAGTTACTGTAAAGAGGGGAATCTGAAGTCTGAGTTTTTTTAATCTTAGTTTTTGCGGTGGAAAATTTCTGATACCTCTCAACAGTAGTAGGAAAACATGTAGCCTAAAAGTAAGGACATTGTAGCTTATTGTCTGGCATATAAATATACTTTGTAAACTGCGTTGAGATTTTTCTTAATGGGAAACAGTATATAAGTATTTTAATTAAATAAAATAATTAATGTTTACCCAATCTTTGTTGCTGACTGTATACCACTAAACTTGATAGGTATTTAGCACTCAAATATTAGAAAGATTAACTTACTAATTTTAACAAGGAGGAAATGAAAGAGAAGGCCAAGCTTGAAGAGGAGAAAAAAGATCAAGAAAAAGATGATCCTAAAGGAATTCCTGAATTTTGGCTGACAGTATTCAAGAATGTCGATTTACTCAGTGATATGGTTCAGGTAAGAGAGTAAAGTTTTAATTATTTGAAATGTTGATGATAAACTAAACTTTAAGAATTAGAACTTATCTTATTCAGAACTAGGTAGCATGGACATCATTAAAATATTTCTTCTGGGCTTACCCATTTACTTTGTGTAATGTTCCATCAGTAATCCTTTCTGGGATTCTTCAGATTGTATGTCTCATGTTTGGTCGAAATATAGCACTAAGTATATGATAAATTCTTCATTTCTGCACAAGTCTTTTTGATGTCCTAGGGAAATAAATATTTATGATAAATATATATTAGTACCACCCGTGAAACTAACAATAAAATCGTTTGATATTAAATGTAAAATGTTGCTCTTAATTTTCCTCTTTTATATTACCATATTATTTCCTACTTTGTAATTGCATTAAAAGTGTAAAAAGCATTGCCTAATGTATTGCAGTTTTACTTTACATATATAGGAACATGATGAACCTATCCTGAAGCATTTAAAAGATATTAAAGTGAAGTTTTCAGAAGCCGGAGAACCTATGGTAAGCTTGTATTGTTAAAAATATGTCTTCTATGTGGATTATTATTAAATTTGTATACTAATTGACTCCCAATGACTCTGGATGGCTCCTAAATAAAAACATTAAAAATAAGGGAAAAAATCCAGATATAAAAGAGAGAAGAAGAAAAGATGACAAAGATGAAAAGAACCAGACAGAAATGAAAGAGAAACATACCACATCATCTAAGAAAACACAATATTCTTTGCCAAAGATGTGGGTGAAGAGCCAGGTCTTTACAGCCCTCCAAAACTTTAACAGGCTGGGGCCATTTGTATCGGGGGTGGGGGAGCTTATTTCAGAGGGCAGGTGCTGCTATAGAGAATATGTGTTTCTTGAGTCACAATAGATTGTATGTGACCTGAGTGACTTCATAGCAAAATTAAACACTGAGGATGTGTGTAACAATTTGGTATTTCATAACAGTAAAAACTTCTTTTGGATTAAAACCTAAATTAAAGTGTTAAGTAATCAGAAATGTCTATCTCTAATGACCAGCCCATTAATTATGATTAGCATTATATCAGTTTAAAGCAAAAGCCTGTTTTTAACCAAGGTTCTATGTTGCTGAAACGTTTTAATCTTCAGCCCATAAGGATGCCTAAAAAAGAAGATTTCAAAGAATGTATTTATAAGTTCACTACCTAGTTAAGCATATACAGATAATTTATTTTGATGAGAGTTCTATTGAAGTTCTACTATAGGGAATTCTTCAGAGTAAGTTCTCTAAAATGAAGACATTAATACCATGTAAAAACTAGTATTTCTTTGAGATAACACAGAGGGGAGAACTAGTTCTTTAATAGATACAGAATTCCTATTCAGCCATAATTGTCAGCCTGTTGTGGGGTTTGGGAAAGATTAAATGAAGGAAGATGGACTTTGTGTTCCTTGAAGAAATAAGAATATTGTGCAAAATAATATAAAAGTTGTCAACCTCCCTTCATTTATGGCTCTTGGATATATTTGCTTGGATTGATTGAAATTACAATTCAACAATATTAAGAACTGATAACTTCAAAGGCAGAATCCTTGGATAAAACAATAACATTAATAAAGAACATAATGGAGTTTTGTTTTGTGGTTCAGATTATAATTATGTATACTTATTCTAACTTGTACTTTTTCAAAGACTTTTACTTTAGAATTCCACTTTGAACCTAATGAATTTTTCACAAATGAAGTAGTAACAAAAACATACAGAATGAGGTCAGAACCTGATGATTCTGATCCTTTCTCCTTCGATGGACCAGAAATTATGGGTTGCATAGGGTAAGTGTAATTTTGTATAATAAGTGGCCAAGAACTAAGATATATGGCCTCATAAAATGTTTAAATAAATACACGTAGTCCTTGGGTCATTCATTCTGTGACTATTGAAAGTTGTGATGGGGCTGAACAGAAAGTTCCAGTCATTGGAGTGTCCTTACAGTCACTTGATTGCAATCTGGGTTTTTGGTGCCCAGCTTGCTTTTAATGACATTGAGCTGAGGTTATATGATCTGCGATTTCCAATATTCCCTGCTGGCTTTCCACAGAGAGGGGAAACCACTAGGAAGTTATGGTCCTCACTTAACGATGGCAACCAGGCCTTCCAGAACTGCCATCACTGACATAGTCATGTAACATTATGCTTTATGACCACATAGCTTACAATTGGCGATTCTGGTCCCAAATGCTGTCAAGCCAAAGATTAATGTAACTTAATTATTCATGGGTAGTTGATGTTTACCAACTGCCTCATTCATTGACCGTTAAAAGGTACATTTGGGTTGTTCCTCAGTCAGGTGATTGCCATTATATTCAGTACACATTGTACTATGTCTGATTTATTGTTTTTCTTCCCTCTCTTTGCAGAAAGATTAGAGGAAAAAATTACAAGAAAGTAAACAGACACACAATAGGGAATGCACATTGAAAACAATGTGCTGGCAGCAGCAAGCTCACTGCACAACCAACTCAGTGTATTCCCCATTGTGTGCTTACTTACTCTCTTGTATTACCTTCCTTCCCAATCTCTCCACTTTGCATGGGTGATGAGAACAAGAAGAGAAGAAAAACTAAATTGTATGATGTAGAAATTAATTTACCATTGTTTCTGTTGATCACCCATTAACTGTTATCTTGGCCAGAAACCATGTGTTTGCTAAAACTCAAAGAGCAAAGGTTGCAATTTTATATATGGGTAATCTTCAACTTACGATTGTTTGCTTAATGACTGTTGATCACAATTTATGTTTTTTTTGCCAGAAACAGGAGTTTACTTCCAGTTTCCAGAAAAAAACCCTATTGGGCATGCTTAATGACCATGACATTCATTTAACTACCACAATATTTGTTTAATGACCATGGCATTTGTTTAATGACCTCCCCCCCCCAAAGGTAAAATCTGTCATGGTCACATGATGATCGTTTAACCACTAGCATAACTTACCATCTTAGTTCTGGACTCTGTTACTGCTGTAAGTCAAGGACTACCCATAGAAGCAAAAGGTATAGAACAAGGAACTAATAACACCAAGCAAAAAGAGGAACCATCACACTAAACAAATACAGCTGATAACAAGATAAGCCAGAGTATCAAATGCAGAGCTGTAAACAGTGTTAAAAGGGTCTCTGCTAAAAGAGCACCAGAATCATTGGAAATTAAAGCAGGCATTGCTTCATAAAGGATAAATTTGAGGCAAGCAAATAAATATCTACAGCAAATAGATAGTAACTAAAGTTTCTAAGACCAGGAGATCTCAACAATTAAGAGTACAAATCATAGCTGTTTAAAGTAAAGTGCAATTCTTAAATGAGAACCATCCAAAATAGGACTATTGCTGAAGCAGGCATAAGTATATATGAATATATTTTAATGTTATAAAATGAATGTACAGACATCAGTACAGTAAGTTACCTTTAAATGGGCATATGAATAGGCTTTTTGCTCTAAAGAAAATAAATATATTCTGTGCTTAGCGCCCCTAGTGTTGGAAATAGCAATGTTAAGAAATAGGGCACTTACATTTTCTGTGTTATAACCTTGCACACTAAATTCTTACATAATTAATGCAATTAAAATGCCCATTTAACTTGCTTTCAGGTTACTGTGAATCTTTTGCTTTATTTTTTCCCTAGTACTTGAATTAGATGAAATTTATAAGAATAATGGAAGATGTTTTCTCCTAGCATCTGTTCTAACTTCATTATCATTATTGTTTATTCCTGGGTGAGTGCCTAGGCTAATCTTTCCTAACCTAGCTCTCTACTAGGTATGCTAGGTTAAAGTGTTTATATTTCGTTGTGCTGCATTGGGGAGTGGTGGGTAGAGTTCAGTGCAATATATCTAAGGCAACCATTTAAATTGTCTTAGATGCTTAACTTTTCAGCACCATTTGCCAGATTATCAGAATGCCATAGTTTCATTGGGGATTCAAACATCTGTTTTGGACTGGGATGGTAGATTTTTCATTTTGCAGTATTAAGTAGGAAATGTACAGAGGAACTGTTATGTGTGCTTTCATCTTAACGTTATGGCAGATTGAATACATTGCAGAATTCTGAATTGTTTAGTATGTATGTAAAATTTCTAGAGAGAGAAAACCTATTTTATGTTGTGTGCAGAAAAAGTAAGATGTACTACATTAGTCATTCCTTAGTATTAAAGAATTATATTCTGAGAAATCTAAATTATCTTTGTTGTTCATATAGTTGAGTTACTCATGTATTCAGGATCCATTTTAGTTATGTGGTTGGTTGTATGATACTATGTGCCAGGACTATAATAGTTAAAGTGAACATGTAGGTATGTGCTTGGTTTCATAACAGTTTTTCCATAGGTGCCAAATAGACTGGAAAAAGGGGAAAAATGTTACTTTGAAAACTATAAAGAAGAAACAAAAGCACAAGGGGCGTGGAACAGTTAGAACAGTGACAAAAACAGTTTCCAATGATTCCTTCTTCAATTTTTTCAGTCCTCCAGAAGGTAAACTTAACTTTATTTACATTATATATAAAAAAGAACATAGATTAAAATTCCTATAATGTCACAAATGAAAAAAAACCACAGCTATTGAAGTAGCATCGAGTTAAATAATAAAATTACTGTATAGTAAATCAAGAATGTTTTGGTGGTTGGCTTTGACACTTGAAAGGTTTTCTAGAAATAAATATCCCATAGCCTGCAGGACCATATTTGAGAAGTCTTTGACATGTGCTTAAACCATCTTGAAAGCAGAACATCATGGAACAAAGCTTCAAGGATAACTGAAAAGGTGGAACTGCTTATGTGGGAAGCAGGATTTCAAGCATTTTGTTCCAAACCATTTTAAGATTTTCCAAATGATCATAAGAACCTGCATACAGAAACTTACTGAAAGTCAGCATAACATGGAAGTAATAGCCCCATGAAATGGAGACATTTGAGAATAAAGCTTAATTAAAGATTCTTTGTCTGCACTTGATTTTTAAATAGGAGTGCAGTCCAATTTATACTACTCTGTATTCTAATACCCATCAATTAGCAGTGCCTCTGTTTCGTCTAACTTTAGCAGATTAGGCTACATTATATTTTATATAATGGCATTTGGGACATCTTTTGTCTTGTTACATGGAAACAAAAGGTGGGCACTTCAGGTAGTTACTGCAGTTAAATAATGTAGCATTCTTAAATATATAATGTTACATCTTTTTTTCATTTCAGTTCCTGAAAGTGGAGACTTGGTAAGTTTCACAGTGATTGTCTTTATGAATGAAAACATCACTTTTATTTTTTTTTCATTGTAATAAATGTATCCCTTTGCTTCTTTTGAACAAGTTTTATTAGTTTTTTAATTTTTACATCAAGGTGCTTGGGAAACAACGTGGTGATGAGGTAATCAATCACCCCAAAACAAAATTGTACATACATGGCTCAGGTTAATTCTTTAAAGATTCCCTCTCTATTTCCCTCAATTGATACAACATATTCAAATTAATACATTTCTAAATAAAGTTCAATCAGTCAAAAAAAAAAATATCAATAGCATTTCACCTATATAAGTCCAAATCCTGTTTTTAAGCTTTACTAACTTACAGTTACCATAATCCAATTTAGCCTTAAATAAACATATTATTTACACTTCGGGTATCCCTAAATTCCCTTGTTTCATAACATAATAGTTATGTCTAAAATAAACATATTATTATACAGTTACATTCTTACATTACCCAAATATATTCTATTTCTTATTCTAATAACACATTTATTAATGCCATGTCTTCCTTTATCACAATCCATTTTCTTGTTCTCCTTCCATTGCAAAGTGATTATCATACCTAAAATAAAAATATTACTCCCAATATATTTCAGATATATATTCTATAAATCAATCCATATCTCTAAAAAGCCTTTTTGACCCATTAAGTAAAATTTAAATCCCATCAAAGTAATTATCATATCTAAAACAAACATATTGTTCCAAAAGATACCTTCTTACTATATTTCACATATATGTTCTATTTCTTATCCTTACAACTCTTTATATAAAACCTTTTCCTTATTACAATTCCAAACTATAATCTAGTCCAGTGATCGCAAATCTTTTAGAGACCGAGTGCCCAAACTGCAACCCAAAACCCACTTACTTATCGCAAAGTGCCAGGGCTGCATCAGCATTGTGGTGCCCTCGGGGGGGTGGACGTGGCCCACTGGATGGGCGTGCTGCAGTGGTCACGACAGACTGGGTGAGCATGGCATCCCCGGGGGGCCAATGCCGCTTGCTCGCTCACTTCCTGCTCTGTTGCTTCCAAATGCCACGTGCTCGCTACTCTGGTGAACTCTGCTGGGGCAACGGCGTGCGTGCCCACAGAGAGGGCTCTGAGTGCCACCTCTGGCACACGTGCCAGGTTCGCCACCACTGATCTAGTCAGTAATTCATCTCAGTTAGTATTAAATCAGTCAAAATCTCTAAAAGCCTTTTTAACCTATTAAGTAAATTTTTAAGTCTCATTTTTGAATCTAACTCTGGCTTTCTTTTTGTGCCAGACAGGTTTCCATAAAAGAGCCTCTATATCATCAAATTTGATTAGGAGTGTTTAACAACAATTCAGTTTGGTCGTACTTCTCTTCTTCCAGTATCGTCTGAGTAGTATAATCAGTTTTGTTCAATGTTGTGATTACTAGTTGGTTATCCACGTTATCACAGTTTTCAATACCTCGTGTTTGCAATTCATTTCCTGTTGTTTTTGGCATCACAAGTGTTTTAATTAAAGTCATTCTTTGGTCGTCAAAGTTCTCAATGAGTTGTACGTAGGATTGTGTAATGTCCTCTTTGTTGATTTGTTCCTCTTCTGTTGTTTTTTGACTTATGAAGTAGTCAGTTGGAGTCTGGAAATCAGTTTGAAGTTTTGGGGCAAGGGCTTTTATTCTGGAATTCACTTGCTCAAAAAAAACTTCCAGTATAAGTTTATAGTTAAGTTGTGGGTAAGGTTCCTCCATCTCATTAAATTGTGTGTGTTGTTGCATACAGGCCTCTTTGAAGTTGATCTGTTCCTCTCTATTATTTCTTGGCCTATAAGTTGATCAATTAAAATTTGAGGTTCAATTTGTAGTTCTGGAATATCATCTTTGGTATTCATCCTAGAGTTCATTTGCTCCATAACCTCCAAGATTTTTTCCAATATAAGCTTATAGTTAAGCTGTGGGTAAAATTCCTCCATTTCAGTGGTGAAATAGTCTTTTAGTGGAGGCTATGTTTACTAACAGTCAGCCAATATCCACCTCCACAGTTTCTAGTAGGCAGTTTCACCACCTAGCTGTTTCAAATCCTTTATCTTTTATAATAATTTGAAGGTCAAACCCACCCTCAAAATCAAAGAGGAAATACAATTGCAGTGTCAGCTTTTGCCACAAGATGTCCCCAGTAGGCTGCAAAATCTTTTTTCCAGGTTCCAATACAGTTTTATCCAGTTAAGAAAGTAAAAAAACAACAACAATATTCTCCAGCTTAATAAGTAGATAGAGTAATAAAAAGTAGAGTAGTAAAGTTCTATAGTGGGAATTTTTTCAGGACCCCAGAGTATCCAAGAATAAAAATAGTCAGTAAAAATTAATTATTTTTTCTTTTATTTTCAGAGCTCTTTTTCCCTAGTAAACAGACGCTGCTCTCTCAAAGCAGGGAAATAATTCCAAAAGCTTTTCACAGGGAGATAGTTAGGGTAAAGAGAGGGAAGGAAGGGTCTCACCTGGATCTTCCACGGTGGCTCTTTATGCTTAGATGTTCTTCTGACTTTCGGCTGGTGTGGCTAAGTGATCGGCCATGTAAATGGCCGATCGTTTCTCCATCGGCCCTAAGGAGCTGCCTTGGACCGCAGAAGGAGCTGCTGCCCTTCCGCGGTTGACGAGAGTCCTCATCGGTAGTCACCCCTCCAGGGCGACTTTCGACCCTGTTAAGGATTTACCGGCAAAGGGAAACCGGCCGGCGAAGAGACGACTGCGTGACCGCCAGCGCCGCGATCCGGAACCGGAAGTCTATCCCTTTGCTTATATATACACATACATATACATACATATCAAAACCCATACATGCACACCAATAAATACAACAATATTAAATTATCACAAGTTCTTAAAAACAGATTAGATTGTTAATGTGAAGGATCCATGCAGTCATTGCCCATTCTTTCATGAAAATACACCTCTTAATTCCTAGTGCTCCAGGAAGTAAATATGATATTACTTGCCATTTATGTAAGTACATGTAGACAGCATTGCCCATACTGTATGTATGAAAGGAGCTAATACAGACGACATATTATCTACTTATGAGTTAAAACTTATAAAAATGTGTGGGAGAGTCCAAAAGATAATGTAAAAGTATAACTTAAGGAAAAAGTATTGTAACCATACAATAAAAAAGTCATATATGAATTCATGCAGTATTGCAGGGTTTTGGTTTGTTTTTTTTAGTAAGAATTAATTTATATCTGATCAACTGATGCTGCTGCTAAGGAGACCTGACTGAAATCAGCTACGAGGAAGGTGTTCTCTGTGATGACTTTAATGCTCTGAAACTCTCCCTCCATTTATATAAGGTTTTCACCCACTCTAAACACTTTTATATACAATTTGAAAACTTATAAAACTTATAAATTTACATTTCTTTTTTGCTATAAACTTCATGTTAGATTAGCATTTGTAATGATTTGAGTAATGTTTTATTGTTATTTATTGATTAGTACAAACTTTAATTAACACACTTTTGTAGACTACGGCAGGTTCACTGCCAGGACAATCCAGAATCAAATTTGATCATAAATATTTTGTGAATTTAAAAATTCAATATTTCTTGGCAGGCCAATAAATGATTTTTTTTAAAAAAAAACATTAATTAATTAATTATACAGCAAAGTGACTAGACCAGTATTTCTCAACCTTTGCAACTTTTAAGAAGTATGAACTTAAATTCCCAGAAGTCTTCAACCAGAATTCCCACTCTGGCTGGGGAATTTTGGGAGTTGCAGTCGACACATCTTAAAGTTGCCAAGATTGAGAAGGGGAATAGAAAATGCTGCTGACACTAAAAAGGTTGAATGAAATGGTATATTTGCATTTAGTAAGTACAGATAATGGCACTATATTTATTAATTTACTTATGCAGGATGATGATGCTGAAGCAATTCTTGCAGCTGATTTTGAAATTGGCCATTTTCTACGGGAGCGCATAGTTCCACGATCAGTATTGTATTTTACAGGAGAAGCCATTGAAGATGATGACGATGATGTAAGTTGTGTTTTAATTTCATCTACATCAAAATTATTATATTAAATTGATTTAAAGCTAGATTGGCCTGTAAGTAAATATGCATACTTTACATCCACCTTACATTCACCTTACATTCCCTTTCAGGCTGAACAGCGATATGCAGAACATAGAAAAGAAATACTGTAAAAACAAATGAAATTAAGGGCTGATAATAAGAGAATTTAATGACAAAATTGCAACTATATGCATTTAAATTAAAGTAGCAATTTTTCAGAAGATCAATGTTAGTTACTCATTATTTTGCCTCTAATTGAGTTTTGTTCAGCTCAGTATGCTGTCAAGTATTGTGATGATAAGCCTCAAAACTCTGAAATTGCAGTTGCTCCATTAGACTAGGAGGATATGAAATCATTTTGAAAAACCATAGAAGCTGAAGGGCTCCAAATTTAAATTAATTTTAGCCAATAATTCAAAACTACACCTTGCATTAGTTTCTGGAAGGATGAAACTTGCTTCCTATTTCAGTACAGAATTTGGCACACCTTGAAGTACATCAAACATTCCTGATACTTGTATTCTGTGGTAGAGTTTAATAGTGATTTTTGGGGATAAAAGGTGCTCAGATATCATTAATTCTTACAAATATGGAAATACACCACTTGAAAATTACAATGGAATAGTTTTGAGGGAGAATGATATTGATATATCTAAGCTCCATAAGGTAGATAATTCAGGGCTTTTGCCTTGTATATCTTGTTGCTGGTGTATGATTATTGCCATTTTGTCTTGTAAAGCATAGCATGGCTTTTTTTTAAAATAAATTCTATCTTAGAATTTCTGTTTTTATAAATTCTACCTTGGTTGATTTTGACCTCATGTGTGAAGCAAACCATAATGCAGAAGTTTGTTCCATTTGTGAAATGCTTAGTTTTTGATCTGATATAACCATATGACAATATAAAAATGGATTCTGAATGACTAGTGCCTTTTCCTGAGAGGATTTTAAATTGTTCTTCAGTATGACAGATGCCAAGCCTATTAGCATGAAGATATACTTTAACCTGCCATTAAAAAGAACTGTAGATAGACTTTGCACAATAACAACCAGGAATTCTAATTGAAGAATCAGAGTGGAAAAACATTTGGAACAAGCAAACAGAGACCTTAGAGAACATTGTGCTGTCTTAAGAGGGCTATACTCAGTTTAACAATTATGATGTCACTTTTGCTTCAAAAACTTTAAAAGCCACTGGACATTTCCTTAGAGTAAAAATATCCCTCAGAGTGAAAGATATGCTAATCTTGCTTATGTGGAAAATAGGACATTTCATTGGTTTCAACTTGAATTGTGTATTTGAACTTTTTATTTTCAAGGCTTTAAATCTACTTAAAAATAATGATAGGAAACGATCTCTACAAAACAACCCTATATGAATTTACTCTGAAGTAAGTCCTGCCTTCACTTAAGACAGGGGTGTCAAACTTGCAATGTCATGTGACATGTCACGATGTATCGCAACTTTTTTGCCATTGCCGGCAATGGGTGGGCACGGTTTTGCTATGATGCATTCGACCCACGGGCTGGCAGTTTGACACCCCTGACTTAAGACCATAGAGGGAACCTGCTGCCTTTTAGATATTGCTGAGTTTCAGCTTGCAGCAGGCCCACTAGCATGGCTAGAAATGAATTCTGAGAACTGTAACATCATCATTAGTAGGTCTGTAAATTCTTAACTTTGATTTTAAGGCTAGCTGCTAAATAAGTTTACAGAGGATAACAGTGTTAATTGGAGGCTTTTTTTAAATCTAAAAGTTGTGGTCTTGGAGCTTATACATTTCTGATTGATCTTTTTTCACTTTATAGTATGATGAAGAAGGTGAGGAAGCTGATGATGAGGTAGGCTTTATTTTGGATTTCATAAACTTTAATAAATTGATTTCAGCAACTTAAAGTTATAGAAAAAAGTAGCTGAGGGGAATTTTAGTCTTGCTGTATGTGGCCAAATATACTTATATACACATGTGTTTTAGGAAGGGGAAGAAGAAGCAGATGAAGAAAATGATCCAGATTATGATCCAAAGGTATGTGACCAGTTCATACCTTCCTGTGTAATTGCATTTAGAGTTATTGCCTGTAATCTGTAAATTCCTGTAGCAGACCTGTTTGAACACTGATGTATCTTTTTCTTTCTTCAACAGAAGGATCAAAACCCAGCAGAATGCAAGCAGCAGTGAAACAGTGTGTATGTGGCCTTGAGGATTATCTGCACTGTAATAGCCTAAATACAACTATTAGTTACTTACAGCCTTATGTTTTGTATCTTGGTAGAATTAAGTAAACATTTTGTTAAAACAAACTGACAGAACCGGTTTAAAATGTAGGTTCCTTGTACCTAGCATTTTAATAGTACTTTTCTGCCGATATGTAGAATGCAGTAAATCCTAAAGCATGAATTGTTAATTCATTGCTATATATAGTTTGGTTCTAGTGAAGTCTGTTGTCATGTAGCTATTAGACTGCAGCTGTGAAGATATCAGAACTCTTGACGGAGACCACTATTTGTTTAGAAAAGATCCTTTCCCAGAGAACCAACCAAAGTATTTTTGGCCCAGTAGTTTAAATGGGTTTAATTCTGCTTGCACTGGCTGTGCCTTCATTACTTTGTCATAGAAATAGCAGTGACTTGTACTAATTAGGAAATGACATACGTTTCAAATTTCATAACTTCCATATAAACTGTTAATTTCCATCAAGACCACATTGAATGTTCATAATTGTTTGCTTGTTTATGCTCTAGGTTTTTGTATTCTGTGATGGTGACCTACAAAAAATCTCTAGAAACATCATATTAAGATTGTTTATCACTGGGATGTGAATAAACCTAGTATTTTCAGAAACTAGTTGTACTTGTGTGTACATTTTAAAATCTTGTAAGCAACCAAAGTTGTGAGAAACATTTACTGTTGGAAGCAATCTTTACATATATACATATGTCAAATGCTGTATTTCTGCATAAATTCATTTCATTAGGTCTTGCATTTTGCATAAATGTTGTGTTTTGACAATATTGTATCTTGATTCAGTCACTTGCACCTATGCCCTCCTCACAGCAAGGTGGAGAATTTTCTCAACCAATCTTATAGTCATAACTGCTCGCCATTAATATATTGCCTTAGGCTATTAAAAATTAGTTTAGCAATAAGTCACCTTTACAGCTCTAACCTTAAAGCTGCTTTCTGCAGTCTGATTATATCTAGGTGTCAAACTGCTGCCAGTTTCCAATCAATATTGTCATGTTAGATGAAAAGTCTAATAATGCAACACATTGGGACAGCATTAACATGATTCTTGAGTGATGCCTAGAAGGAACTTGATTTCTTAAAATAATTTGTTCTCTTTCAGATCTTCTAATTTTACTGATTTTATAAAAATGTGTCATTATTGCCTTGTTTGTGAAACCAATGATAACCATTTTTTTCCTAAAAAGAATGATCCGTACTTGACTATTTGGCGTAAATAATAATCTTTAGTCAAACCACTTTTCTAATAGACCTAAATCAACACTCAAATGACAGAATTGAAGAAAGGCAGAATTTGGAATGATTTGTAAAAATTGGTGGTACTGTAGAATGACCCAATTACAGAAAAAGCAATGATTATGTTCTGTAGCAGTATCTTTGTATCTATAGGAACCTAGGATTTACATTGCTGAAATTCATGGCATTCAGTTAAAAATAATAAAATACACATGAAACTCCTAGTTGTAGAAAAGTTAGCTGTCCTGCATATCTGTTTTGAATGTAAACAGATTTGGAGAGGAACTTTGTTTCTGGAGAAGCATTGGATAGGTAAGCCATTGCTCATAAAATAATACCTGGTTAGTTGTTAAAACACAGTTTCATAATTTATTCAAGCTGATAGAAAAAGAGTACTAGTTTTTATTTCTCTGAAAATCTGTATGGCCCAAATTTGACTTATAACTGGTTGTTTTATATGGAGACTGGTATTGATGAAAGTAAGTCTTAACAATGACAACATTGTAACAATAAAAATGACTTTCATGGCAAGTGTTGAAACAATGTACAGTACATTAGAATTTCTGTGTCAAAACTATACTATCAATAATAATGACTTGCCTTTCTTGGGGATTTTGTTATCTTCTGGAATTTTTTGTTTTCAATTTCCTAGGATCTGGATTTGTTATTGCTATCCTACCCAAGTACTGATTATCCAGTTTTGTGGCATTTTGGTGAATGCTCTGGAAATTTAAGATCTTATTTTATACTTTTGATTGCAATGCCATTGATAGAAATCATCTAGAAACTGTTAGAAGAAATTATAGAAATTTCTTGGGTTCAGATAATGGGATCACAGGATATAATATGTTTTATTAACACATCTGTGGAACACTTAAGGTTATTGAGAAAACAAATGTCTTCCCATTCTGACATGTATGGGAGGAATGATTAAAAAAAATTAGCAGATTTTTTTATCTTTGGCAATAAACTTGAAAACGTTTATGTGTTTGTGATAGAGATGCTTGTCTTATTTTTTTTTAAAAAGAAATGTACTTTGGGCTTAAAAGGCAGGTGTCCTACAGTGAAGCTTTAAGTTTTCTAAGTGTGATAGTTCTGTTCAACAGTTCAGAAATCAAAATACGGTAGTCAAATTATTGCACATTCAAGGCAATAGAAGATTGACCAATCTTGTGTTTTTCTATAAATACAAGCTTTCTGCTCTCAGAAAGAGTAATAATAAGATTGCCTAATTACCACCTCAGAATCTGACAAAACACTTGGAGCTGCATGAGAAGATCTAGACGTCATTGATCAAAGAGAAGCTGAAAAAAGATTGGATATTTCAGTGAGGCAGTGATCTGAAACATAGCCTTCAAATCAACTACGAAATGCAGAGGAGAGATAGAAAGGTTTTGGAAGGCTGTCGCAGTCACCAGATTAAAATATTGTTCAAAATCTGAAGGAACTTAAATAAGCGGTACATGCAAGGAAGGAGCCCAAAGAATATTTTTGAGAGTATTTTTGCCAAGAGGAGTAGTAAATAGAAATTCTGACAGCAATAATGGGAACACAGCCTGTAATAATGCTTGGAAGTGTTATTTCTGCTGTACGGATAGGAATTTTGCACCTTCATGTTCATTTTTTTAAGCTATGGCTAGACTCAGATTCATAGAAATATACTATGTATTAATCATATCAGCTTGCATTCCCAAAGACATTGATTGAAATACAAATACAGTAAAGTTTTGCATACAATAGTATGCAAGTGGATCCAAGATGCCAGATCTGAGATACAACTCCAGGCCTACTTGCAAAAAAAAAAAAAGTAAATAACTTTTCAGTTTGATTTTATGCCCTTTAGTTATGATGCAATATTTCAAATATTTGAAATATTTGAAATGTCATATTTGAGTGGCTTGAGTTAAAATTTTGTCTTTTTGTCGGAGTATGAAGTAAAATGACCCCAAATTTTCATTTAAGATTGTCTAGAATGTTGATAGTTTTCTTAAATGGTTATGTGTCACTTCCAGGAAAAACTGCTAAGAATTTTTATATATATATAAAACTGCATGGTTTAATTAAAGCCGCAAAAGGATTAAAAAAAAAACAGGGTTAGTGGGAAACAGTTGAAGAGACATATATCCCATTAAGCAAATCAGAAATGTGCTTAGAGTTAACCTTGACACTAGGAGGCGTACGTGTGCTATAGTGTCTTGATATCAAATTATCCATGCTGTGTATGATATAGTAGAGTTGAAGAACCAGTACAACTAATACTGTTCATGTGTATTAGTCAAAACTATTAATGATCTTACAAATAAAATTGCAGTCATAGGCTTTGTGCACATAATTTTATGACGTATCAGCAGTTTTCCATTTCTTCACATAATGGAAATAGAGTTTTCTGAATGTTAGATGGGTTTGTTTTCTAAAGTGATAAAAATTTAGGAGCATTTTTGATTGCCTCATTCTCCCCCACTTCAATAATTGCAATCCTGTTACCCTAGATGGGGTCTTGGCCCAAGGTCATTTAATGAGTTTCCATATACCTTCCACTTAAACTTGGATCAAAAGGTCTATAGTCAAGTTGTAAAGTATAAACGAACGTTTGTAGACCGTCGTAGAGACTTCTCTGGTCCCTAGAAAACCGTACGTTACTTACACCAGTGTCTGTCTGTGTTTGTTCCAGACGGATGGACGTGTTCTTAAGAATTACGACAAAGGTCCGACAATGTCGTGATATTAATGGGAAATTGTGAGATGCAGAATTTTACATTGGCTCAATATGTCCTAAGAGATGCAGGGTGGAGCATACCCCAGGTTAGCCATCTTGTTGAAATTTGTTTGTTGTTGCTGCTGATCTTGATGGTTTTTAATGGTTTCTAATTTTAATAATGGGAAGCCAAAACAAAAAAAGTTACATGGGGAAAGGGGACAGACAATGGGTACAGAAAGAATAGGCATATAAATTCAGGAAAACAGGTAAAATTGAAATGAATAGTGAGCATGTAGAAAAAGAAAATGAGTCAAAGCTTTTTTAATGATTATGTTTCCAAAAAAGGTTATTAACAACTAATACAAAGCTTTCAAATATATGTCATATTAATGCAACCCCCTAGGTTAGTTAATAAAGGTAAGTTCTGTACTCAATTCTGTTTGCAGGCAGTTTGGGTATATATATATTTAAATATATAGGAGCTTTCAATAAAAACAAGCAATGTCCTTATGGCTTCCTTTCATGTGTGTGTGTGTGTGTGTGTGTGTGTATAAAATGGGCTCATTTCCATGGGAAGATAGCATTGTTCAGTGATGAAACAAGTAGGGAAATATTAAGGCCTGGAGAGTCTTACATCAGCAATCTGAAATGTAATGTTATCCTACTAATGAACATACACTTGTTTCTCCAAACTGTTTTTTGACATTCAGGCAAAATAAGTACAAATTAAGTACATTTCATATTTATAGAACTAGGAACATTGTCTATTACATCAGCAATGGGAATTTTTTTAGTACCAAAGGTAGTAATGAGTGTTCTGCAGTTGTAAACCTCTGAACAATAATCAACGTCATTCAGGGAAAGGGGACTTTATTGAATATACATACGAAGTATTATGACGACACACATACGATACTAAATACTTGTTCGCACTTTATTGAAACGACAATCACACATTATCTTTAACTTTACTTGCAAGGAAAATCCAAAACTTGGGATCTCACCAACGAAAGACCGAACATACTTACTGTAGGTTCATCGTCCGTTCGATTGGGTTTGTTTTTATCATATTAGGCATTTCTCATAACAATTACAACACACATGCGCGCGCCCGGAAGGTTTTCCGTGTTGGGTTCAGGCATGCCTGCCCCCGAATGGTTGCAGCATCTGGGAGTGTTTTCTGGGAGTAGTTGGGGTGTCCGCGAGCGTCGGCAGAGCAACGGGGCTGGCTTCCCGCCACTCGGCCTCCGCAGGCTGCGCGTTCCAGAGGGGAAGCCAAGACGCCAGCCTGCCGCCGTCAGTGACAGCTCAAATGTGGTCTTTCTCCTGAGGGGCCTCCTGAGTTCCAGGCGTGAGAACGACTCCGCTGTCACCGGAGTAAGGCTTTGTTCTCTGGCGCTGTTGCGACCGGGAACCTCTGCAGGCTTCCGAGGGGAGAAAAGAGGAAAGCGAGCCACGAGCCTCCGCCCGCCTCTAAAGACGGGCAGGCGAGGACGAAACGGCCGGGCTTTCCTCGACCGGCCTCTTCGGCAGGCCCCGCCCCGCCTTTCCTTCGTCCCGCCCCCCGAAAACCTGGTGTAGCTGAAATGAAAAAGCCGCTTCCAGAAACAACGGGAGGGGGACGGAGGGCGCTTCCTCCAGCGCTTCTGGGGAAAGACCGGCGGGAAGACCAGAAGCCGCGCGGCTAAACCTGGCCTTCGTTCGCCAGTAGGCGAAGCCTTTCCGGCGCTTCCCGGGAAATCCCGCTCGTCCGTGCGCCGCTTCTCTCTCGGGCGCCTTCTTTTCACTCCTTTCCGAAGTTTTTGGCAGCGGCGGGAGGATGCTGGAGAGCGGCGGCAAGCCGGTGAAGGAGGGCGTGCTGGAGAAACGCAGCGACGGCTTGCTGCAGCTCTGGAAGAAGAAGCGTTGCATCCTCACCGAGGAAGGGCTTCTGCTTATCCCGCCCAAGCAGGAGCCGGCGGCGGCGGCTTCTTCTCCTGCCAACGGAGAGACGGCGGTGGCCGCCGTCAAGATCAAGCAGTTACCCTTCTCCACCATGAAGACAGTGGACTGCGTAGAACGGAAGGGCAAGTACATGTATTTCACAGTGGTGATGGCCGAGGGGAAGGAGATCGACTTTCGGTGCCCACAGGATGAAGGCTGGAACGCCGAGATCACGCTGCAACTCGTGCAGTACAAAAACCGGCAGGCCATCCTGGCGGTCAAGTCGACCCGGCAGAAGCAGCAGCACCTCGTCCAGCAACTCGGGCCCCGCCTCCGGAGCGCCTCCAACTCCGCCTAGACGGGCACCCCCGACAGGTACTCGCTTTGCCCGCTTCCCGCCTTGTGCCCGCGGTCGGTCGCCGGACTTGTTCTCGGCCGCGTAGGGCGCAGGCGGGTTCTTCCCCCTCCCCTCAAGCTCTCCCAGCGTCGGAGGGAGCTCCTCACAAAACAAACAAGCGAAGCTGGGTGGCAGCTTGAGCCCTCTTTTGTTCTGCAGAAGCGCCCACCTTTGCTGTGCGGTTCCTGCTTTGGGGAAGGGGAGACCCCACGCACCAGAATCAATTTTACTGTGATCTTCACGCGTAGGGGCTTTCTTACATATATTCAGTACACATGCAGAGGCCCTGCATGGACTTTATTATCTTTTCCTACAAGCCCTGTTTAACCTGGTATGCTGCAGAAGTGTGGCGGTACAAGACAACACTGCATCTGCTGGAAATTGGATAACTGTCATTTGCAGATTCCTGTGTTTAAAACTAAACTGAGTAATTCAGTTCTTAATCAGCTTCTTGTTTTCCTCTTGCAATGCACAGGTAGTCCTCGACTTATGACCAGTTGTTTTAACGACTGGTCAAAGTTACCCCAAACCAACCAAAAGGTAGTTATAACCTGGTTCCAAAGTTCCATTGGTTCCCCTCCCACCACATAGTCACATGATGGCATTTTGGGTGCTTGGCAACTGGCCCATATTTATGACTATTTGCTGTTTCCTGCGGTCACTTGACTGATACATGATCTTGCTGAAAAACAATGGATTCACTTAACGACCACAGTGTTTTCTTTACAACCACCGCATTCTGTTAACTGCTTCAAAAAAGGTAGTTAAAATCAGATCAATTAGAATGACTTATGACTGTGATGGGCAGGCTCCATTATGGTCTATGTGTGGTGTGGAGCCTTTTGAATTCAGGCTCTGGGTAAGGAAAGAGAGGGGTCGTCTGTGTTATCTGTGATTCCTTTCCCCCCGCCCCTCGCTTCATACAATACCAAATCTTTACTTCGTTGTTTTTTACACCTACAAATAATTCCCCAAAAACCTTAGGGCTGAAAAATGAGTAGAAAGAATTAGAGGATAATTAATTCAGTATGTTTTTACATGAAATGTCTCATCTGGGACGGCAAACTGTTCATGTAAAGCAGCAATTATGAATGTGTTATCTGTAAAGGCATAATCAGAGTTTTCTTGTGACTGGCATGTAATCATCCGTGACTTCTCAGCAATGAGACCCAAACCAGTTGGTGATTGTGTGCTTTACAGTATTGTAATAGGGATGTGTTGTTGAGAGCAGTGAGAGTCTTTAGCTAAAGTTTAAGACTACTTATGCAATTTGTTGCTAACCTTATGCTCTTTTGCGAAAATATTGTGAAGGAGAATCTTTCCATTTCATCAGCAGTATTGGATTTAAAAAAACAAGCAATAGGTTTGTCTAATTTGCAAGCACAGAATGCTGCTACATTACTCAGATCATATTTTGTGTGTGTTGTTATAGATCAAATTCAACAGGCGCTTCTGGAAGTAAGAGGAACAGTGATCAAAGGCTGGCAAAGTAAAGGACAACGAGTACAAGAGCATCAGTTCAGCCCCTGGATTTTGTCCAGTTTTGACACCATCTGTGGGTGCTTTAGAGAAGTACTTCAGCTGTTCTGGGTTTCGGCTACTGCTTAAACTTGGGAAAGGCATATTTGACCTCAAAGGACATATGTCGCACTGTCATTTTTAAAATTCCACTATGTTTTATTTGTATGTATATTTATTAGTGGGGATTTTAAGTTTTCAGGTTACTTCTGAATGTAGATCTTCTGAGAGACAATGAAGTGCAGAAAATACTTGCTTTGGTGAATTGTATATGCTGCTGTAGATGGAGGAAGAAACTGAAGCAAGAAGAAAACAGAAAGATGAAGAATTTACCAGGACACAAACTCTTCATATAGCTTTCACACACTGCTTTGCAACAGTTTTCATCTCAAAAAATGGAAGGCTGTTATGAAATGAATGTATGAAATGTATCTTGATATGTTGAAGCATTGTACCAACATTCTAAATAATGAGAACATCCGCTCCAAAGAAAGCAATGGCTTTAAATTAAAATTCTGAATTTTTTGTTTATTCAACAGTCATTTGATTTGTGGTATTATACATTGTATTCAGTAGTAATCAGTTATACCAGTTTTCATATTTTTACTTCACAAGCAGAAAATCTTAGTTGACAGAAAAATAATTATAAAAAAGTTATGTTTTTTATATATGAGATTTGTTGGAAGAATCATACTAAAGACAATTCATTGCACTTCTTTATTTAAATTTGTCCCTAGCCTATAATATTTCTTACTGTGGTTTTACTTTACTCCTTATCACATTATTTTATATAGAATGCCTTAAAGTACTTAATTGGATAATTTTACCAATATTTCCTATCATTTTGGTTTTTGGGGGTCATGTCCTACACAATATTTTTCATACCTCCTATAATCAAAATTATTTCTTCTTAGAACAGTGATTTAAATAAGTACATGCATAATAATGTCCAATTGAATATTTAAACTATGTTACATTTATTTTTTGTCAGCCTAATTAACTATTCTGGTCTTCTTGTGTTATTTGGAATCTTAATATAACAGAAGAGTTCTAAAACCCTTTTAAGAATCAACGCCCTTGACCTATTGATTTACAATATATTTCCTAATTATTAATTTGATACGGTAATATATACTATGCTTTTCAATCTGGATATTCTGTTTTGAAGGATTTGTAATCTTCCAAACCTAGTTTTTCATGAAATAAAATTCATTATGTTCTAATTAAAGTCAAATTAGACACACCACAATGCACCTTGAAGTATTAAACATTTGTATGCAGTTCTATGCGTTCTTATCCTGATAAATTATGGAAAGTTTCTGTAAGGCTTCAGTTCTTATTCTGACTCTACAGAAATGACTAAGCATCAGCTTAGCTCCCATACATCTCCAGTTGAGACCGGAACTAATGGGCAATTTAAGAAGCTCAGTTGTACAAAAATACCAGGTATAAGAACTGCAACTATAGCCATATAGGTTCAGTTTTATATTTGGGGCAAATGTGACCAAATTATGATAAGTGGGCTGTCATAAGTAGATATTTTAACACTTATATTTAAGATTTGAAATAAACATAGATGGGAAGAACAACAGTATTTCTGGCTTCCTTCTGTCTTATGACTTTCCATCCCTGAGCAGTTTCATGTTCTAGAAGGAGGTTTTGGACTAAAGCATTAAATGATATATTGAATGCATTGTGATTGGTTCAAACACTTGCACTTCAATATTAAACTATACAAAAAAAGAGAGTTTATCTCCAACTTCTTAGTTTATTACAATCCAACAGAAAAACAAGTAATATTTGATAATAGAGGATATTTACTGAAATGACAGCAACATACCACGCACAATGCTCAGCAAATCTGCAGTGTTTTATTTTTTAGACTGAAATGGCCACAGGATTATGAAAAATGATTCTTAGTTTTCATAATAGGAATCTAGTCTAGGTGATATCTTTGAACTGATTCTATCAGAAGTCATTACTTAGTTATTTTATAATCATAGCACCTGGAGATAAAAGGAGCAACGGAACTTAAAAAGCAATTCAGTGATTGAGAAGAATGTACCATCATTGTGTATGTCTGTGTGTCTATGTTTCTGTATGTCTAAAATATTATATTTTATAAAACTCAAAAAGGTATAGCCATGAAAGAACCTGCCCAGTTGCTGTCTGATGAAGTGATGGTCATTAAGCGAAGCATCCTGTTTCCTGTTTTGGGGGTACTTGTTTGCTTTTTTTTAATCTAAAGGGATTCCAAGAATAAAGTACATAAAATAGTTTTCTTTACATCCTCCAACATAGGATACTTCATTATCGATTTTGTTCAAAAGTACAATAGGTTTTTTTAAAAAGAGGCCTCTCCTTAATGTTGCAATTGCGGCACAGAAAATTTATCTGCAATCCTATAACACTTTGAAAACAGTAGAAGTTACCTCTAGGCTCTACAAACTTTGAAAATGTTTTATAAGAAGTACTTTAGATCTTGTATGAGCATTTTCTGCTGTTCATTAAAGTCATTATCGTCTTTTTATTATGCTCATGCTGATTTAACAGTTGTGTTAATAAGTTGACTCCTTAAAGCAGAAGCATCTTTTTTCAGTCTTACATGGATGTCTAAAAAAGATGTGGCATTATGAGCAGAGAGATACTGAAAGCATGCACAGCCCTTTCAAACATGTATAGAATTGCATATTTAAGCTAAAATCTTTTGCTATGAAGAAATATTTTATATTTCATGCATCCCCAACCAGATGGCTCACTGATTTGTTGGAAGAATATGACTATGAGAATTTTAATAGCTGGGCTCTAAAACAACTGGAAAGTAAACATACAACATTAGGGAAAAGCAATTATATTTATGTATCTGGGAGGTAGCAATAGTACTTAGACTTATATACCGCTTCATAGTGCTTTACAGCCCCCTGATCCAGAATTTAGAAAGGAAGTTTCATGAATTAGTAATAGCAGATGGTTTGCATACATATATTTAGATATTTTTACCCTTTCTATATGGTGCTTACCTGAGATACAGTGACACTCTATAATATTCTAGAGAAAATAGCCTTTATACTGATGTTGCAAAGAAATGGTAGGGTGAATAATAATATTCTGTGTCATATATTTGCTTTTCAAGAATACATATGATGTGTTATTTTAAATTTCTGGCACAAAGAATATCTCTTCTATGTTATATTCTGAAAAAATGTCTGTTAATTAAAAAATAACAGCTGCAAACACTAGCTTTTGCAGATTAGTTACAATGATGTGATTTCAGGCATTGTGAACTGAAACAATGTAGCAAACCAATGTATGTAAATAAGGTTCAAACCAATGTATACAGTTCAAAGTTTGGAGAAATGTGATTTATTTTTTAACGTGCATTCCATTTCAAATAAAGAAACACCTATTGGAATGTTTAGATGATTTTGGTTTTGGATTAGGAA